GGTTCTGCTCTCCAGCTCAGCCTGGGCCCCTGCTTTCTCCTTAGCTCAGCCCCACTCAGTCTGACCCAGGCAATTCCAGCTCACACGGAGGACGGGACCTCCCTGGCCTCCTGACCCTCTGATTAGCCTGCCCGCCCTGTCAATCAGGCTGATCTGGAGCATTGGCCTCTCGCCATTGTTCCTGGGGACTGTCAGTCTCAGGCTCCTGATTTGCCATCGACCCTTCCCCTTTTAGTACTGGGAGCAAGCCAATCAAAACACCCCCACTGAATGTTAGTAAGGGGGCAACAGTCCCCTTACACAAGGAATTAACAACTCCCAGCATTAACAACTGATTGCATTTGCTTTGGCTAATTATCCATTGGTTTTGCAACAAAACAAGCCTATTGGTGTGGAGGGACTTTCATGTGCAGGGTGCTGTGGGGGCACTGCATTATACATGTGGTGGGATCTCTTGCAAATGAGTTTTGCTTCCTTTCCCAAGCCACAAAGCATGGAATATCCTTGGTCACTCCCAGCCACATGACTATCACAAGCACCCGCTTAATTATTTCTGCTTTGTAAACTAAAGCGCTGCCATGAGCTTAATAACTGCTGCTTGGGACTAATTGGGGTGATTATTATATGGCCCAGAGGAAGCATCACAGCTTGTTATCTCTGGGGAGTAGCATTAAGAGCCAGTAGATAATCAGAGGGTTATTTGTAGCACTTTAGATGACATTTTAATGCCTGTAGAAGTGATTGTGATCAAGCCACATTCCAAAAACCAACCTTGAATTGGGGAGGCCATGAGTCCTGTAAGCTGGGCAGCAGCCCACACTACCACTGGGGCTGACAAAATTCCCATGTGACAATAATCGGATATCATGAGTTAGTGTTGTGCCAAATTCCTCTGTGGCATAAACTGCTGTAACTCCCTGTTTTCAGGATAAACTGCACTCACATTACAGATGGCTGTGGTCCTGGATCTTCAAAGCACTTTACATGCATTGATCAATTAAGCCTCATAACCCCGCAGTGAGGTTGGTTTGTTTCCTTAACCCATTTTACAACACTGGTTCTCCACTTGTGAGGTAACTCCCTTCTCTTCATGTGTCATTATATAATGGCTGCATCTGTAATTTTTACTCCATGCATCTGAAGAAGTGAGTTTTTTTACCCACAAAAGCTGAGGCCCAAATAAATCTGTTAGTTTTTAAGGTGCCACCAGACTCTTCGTTGTTTTTTTAGGTATGGCAGGTGCTCACCCAGGGTCATACTGAAAATCAGTGACAGAGCTAAGTTAAGAACTGAAGTGCTACTGAGTGACTCCCACTCCTATGTTCTAACCATTTCTCTTCTTCTGAAGTCCCTGGACATGGCCTGGAATGGGAACATCATTGCAGTGAATGAATGATGCATTTCAGCCATCTAAGGTTCGGTGTTGTCTGTCCGTCCGTCCATCCTCCAAGATGCTGCTTCATCAGGCAGTGCCAGTTTAGAATAAAGAGCAAGCAGGTTTTTACCAGAGCCTGGGAGCTTAAACAACAGGGTTATTAGAAAGGCTAGATTCCAGGTAGAGGTGAGAAAAATCCCTTCTAATGAGACCCAAGGCTGCTTAGCTAAGCAGTCAGCATCTGCTGTCAACAGGCCTAGCGCACCCAAGCGCTACGGTGGGGGAACCAGCTTCCAGGCTCTACTAATCCCCTTGCAACATCATGAATCCGAATCCAGCATTTAAAAAAAATATATTTTATTTTGTTCTGATGCTTTTTAATCTTGCAGCTGTTTCCTGGGAAGAGTCAAACATTCGTGTCTGTTTCATTATCAGCAAGTATCAGCCCAGGACCCCTACAATAACTCTTGACAGATCCCCAGTTCTGGCCCTTGGGAGCATCCATCCCTTTAAGAGAGCTGGGTGCCCCAGTTTGCTGCCTTTTTTTATTTAAACAAAAATCAGCAAACGGATAAGGGACCAATCCTGCACCCACTGAAGTTTTGCTTCTGAATCACTAGCAGCACAATTGGGCCCTTCGGCTTTAATGTTTTCTCATTGCTGAGCTGCCCCTGGAACTCTCACAGGTCACTGCTTCTTCTACCTTCTCCAGCCAGGCCCCTCTCCCCCTACAGTCCTCCCCTACAATCACCTGAGCTAGATGTGGGGCCAGGGAGGAGCCAGCCAAGAAGAATTACTGCATCAAGGGTAAGAAACATAAACTTGATCCAATATGCTGCATCAAGGCAATGATACAGGGAGGATCTATGACCTAGTGGTTAGATCAGGGGACAGCAAACTGCAGCTACTGGATTTTAATCGTGGGTCTTGCTGGGAAGTTGGTCCATTGGTTAGTGCAGGGAACTAGTACTCGGTCTCCCAGGTTCTACTCAGGACTCATAGGTACCATCCCTAGCTTTGAGAGATGGTGTGATTTAGATTTCCACCACCTCTGTATCTAACTTGCTATGAGAGTTGGGAAAAGAACTTGCACTTTCTGTGACTCAGTTCTGCACCTGCAAAATGGGTATAGTCTTGACCTACATCACAGCAGGGATAATGATGTTTGCTTTCAATGTGTCAGTCAGCCAATAGGTGGAATGCTGGATTGCCAGGATATAAGGGAAGCTTTGATGTCCCAGTAAAGGCTTCCAAATCCCAAGCCATTCCCTTTGCAATCCCAACTCCATCCCTCACTTGCAGTAGAGAAAAGACAAGTTGAATGTAAAAGGGATTCTTTATTAAGGTTGCTGGACACTGACAGACCCTGTGGTTCTCTCTGTGCTGTCTAGAGTCTCCACACAAGGTCTTCTTATGCCCTGGCATGGACCCAGCAGTCCCAGAGTGGATTGCTGATGACACAACAGCCCCAGGCAGCAGCAGAGCCCCAGCAAACAGGATCCTGCCACAAACACAGGAAGGTTTGTTGAGCAGAGACAGCCTCTGTTATTGATCATTCGATCAATGGTAATTCAAAGCCTAGTAATAGCTGCTAGAGACTTTTTTATTCCTAAATATCCAGCCCAGGTTCTGTGCAGGAAGATTTGTTCAGAGATTTTAATAGGAGAAAAAAAAAGGAAAAGAAAAGGGCCCTCTCCTGCTGCAGGTGGATTGTCTAACAAATTCGATAAAGAATGAGATAAAAGGAATGGAGGAAGAAGATCTGGTGGAATTGGCCCCTTATCTCCAGAGCATTGGCAAACAAATCCTTGGACAGCATTTATTTAGGGTGAGTGGGCAGCGGAGTTGGCAGTCAAGGCGTAGTGAGGAATTAAAGCCACTGCCATCCTTATCTACCAGACAAGCTGGCAAAGTGTATGGGGGCGGGGGATCATCAGAGCTGTGTGCCAGCCCAGGGCAATTGAGTTTGAAGCCATTTACAAGCCTAGTGAGCCCA